GCCGCCGTGAAAACCACACAAAGGGCCATCCCAGAGCGGGGGGTTTAGTAATTTCGGGATTCAGTGTTAAACCCCTAAACCCCCAACCCTGAACCCTAAACCCTAAACCTTAAGCCCTAAACACCCTAAACCCTAAACCCTCAACACCCTAAACCCTAAACCCTAAACACCCCAAACCCTAAACACCCTAAACCCTAAACACCCCCAACCCCAAACCCACGGTTTGCCCCTAATACTGTTAAAGCCTTGACTGGGTCTCAGACCCAGCTTGAGGACCAGCGGATGAATCAGGACCGCGCCATCCGAACTGCAGGCATTTTGTGTCTGGAAATTTGGTCTTCGGAGCTTTGGGGGTAATATAGGGATAATGGAAAAGAAAATGGAAACTATTAAAATATTTCGGGGTTATATGAGGATAACGGAAAAGAAAATGGAAACTACGGACCTTCGGGTGTAAGGATTTTGGTGGCTTTTAGGTGCAGGACTCATAGTTAGGGCCTTTAGGGCACAGGGCCAAACCATCCTCCAGCCTAGCTTTTGACCCAATTCAATGGATGCAGTTTAGGGTTTAGGGTCTAGGGTTTAAGGGTTAGGGGTTTAGGGGTGAGGGGTTTAGGGTTTAGGGCTTAATTCAAGCAGTTCAGAGCAAAACTCTTTCCTGAGCTTCCCACGCCCTGTCCGGAGCATAAGACATGGAAAAACTGGGGTAGAGTCTGGGGCTTCAATCCTAAACCCTAAACCCTAAACCCTAAACCCTAACTTACAGGCCTGAGCCCTAAATCCTGTAATTTGGGGATCCCAAAGTCTGAAGCCCAAAGACCCGGAACCCTGGACCCTGACCCATCCCAACCGTAGTGAAGATCATGATCCCCCAAGTCCCTAAACCTCTTTAGCAATGTAAACCCCTTAATCCCCAAACCCCTAAATCCCTTAACCCCTAAACCCCTTAACCCCTAAACCCCTACACCCTAAACCCCTAAACCCCCAAACCCCCAAACCCCTCAACCCCTTCATCGAGGCCCTGGGGGCCTCGTCTTCCGCGGATAGGAGGGATGGTTGTAGAGACAGCGGAGGAGGGAGGAGACCGGGTTATCCTCCCCGGAGGCCTTCAGGAGGGTTTAGGGTTTTGGGTTTAGGGTTCAGGGTTCAGGGGTTTAGGGTTTAGGGCTTAGGGTTTAGGGGGAGAGCGGGGGGTTGGTGGTTTGGAGTTTAGGATTCAGGGTTTAGATTTTTTTGGTGGGTTTAGGGTTTAGAGTCTCCGCCTCCAGGTCTCCCTTTTAATGGCACCGCACTGCAAGAAGAGGAATGCTGCTGTGCTACTTCCAAACAGGTCTGTTGCTGGGGAATTCTGAGGTTGAGACCATGGGCCCCTGGCTTGGGCCCTTAACTCTTGGATCCTATATACAAGGGCCCCTGGAACCTCCCTAAAAGGGCCGAAAAAACCCTAAGCTCTAAACCCCCTAAACCCTAAACTCTAAACCCCAAACTCTCCACCCTCGACCCTCAGCCTTAACTCTACGTAAACCCTAAACCCCCTAAGCCCCTTTCAGGATTCTTAGGCCTTCTCCCTTACAACCCGGGGGCAATACGGAGGCGTGGCATCGAAGCTACGGAAATGCCGGCAAAAACAGGGACAGGAGCTTTAAGCTTTTGAGCGTGTAGAGTTTAGGGTGTAGGGTTCAGGGTGTCGGGTTTAGGGGTTTAGGGGTTTAGGGTTTAGAGTTTAGGGAGTTAGGGGTTTAGGGTTCAGGGTCTAGTAAGTCTGAAAGCTGGTTCTTGACAGGTCCCATGTTTCGTTTCGTTTAAATCCGAAGTCAGAGCAGAAAAGCCGCATTGTCTGAGACGTGCTGACCTGGCTGGTGATTGGAAGGCTCAATCCTAAACTTTCAGCCTAACACCTGAAGTCCCTAGGCTGCTGTTACAATGGGTCACCGTTAGAGGCTGGCCATATTGTATGCTCAGTATACAGATGGTGGTAACTCCATGAAAAGCCCTAAACCCTAAACCCTAAAATCTATATCTATATATATATATATATATGTGTGTGTGTATAACTCCTATATATTCCCCTAAACCCTAAATCCTAAACCCTATAATTTGATAGCCCCCATCACCAGGCCTCCTCGACGGAAATCGCGTTCTCCGCCAGGGAGATCTCTTGGAATGGCTCTGAGCAGTTCCAGAGATAGGCTTCCAGAGCAGTGAGGCCTGGCATTGTGGGGTTTAGGGTTTAAGGTTTAGGGGGTGAGGCCTGGCTTTATGTATCAAAACGAAACGCAAAGGAACATGGACATTACTACTTAGTCTTTAGGGTATAACAGGGGCATGTAGGAGATTGGAAAACAACATGGAAACTGCTATTTAGAGTTTAGGATGTAGAGGAATCGATACTCATATGGAAAATCCAGGCGGGAATTGGGAATGGAGGGCTTTCGGGTGATTGGATGAATGGAGCATCGAATGAAAATAACATGACAATTGAGACTGCATATGGAAGTAGACTACCGAATCATTACAGTTTTATTCAGGGATTGTGGCTGGGTTTCAAATAACCAATGAAGAACTGCTTTAAACCAAATGAAAGTGAAACTGTGTTTATACAGGGCTTCATGAGGATTATGATATAATCTACAACATTCATTGGCAAGGGTATTAAAAGGAATGTTTGGGGCATATAGACATACAATTCAATTACATGCACATACATTTTGACACTTATGCCGTGCTTGATAAACTTATGTGAGAGCAGGATTGTGATTATGCCCTACCTAGACACCAAAACCTGCATATATGTTCTATCTTCAGCGACCACGTTGGGACAGCTGCCTTTGGTACTGGCTTTGTTGGCAGTGAGGTCCAGGCGCTTCACCTTGCACGGTGTACCATTGGATGGAGCGTCTAGAGTTTAGGGCTTAGGGTTTGTGACTGGTTTGGGGATGAACCATGGGCTTCGGGTTTAGGTTAGAGACTCTGAGGTTTGGGGTAGAGGGGTTGGCAGGGCCATGCGCAATGAGCATGAAGGCATGATCCTTGCGAATTCCATATTCTGGGATTCATCTGGTGGATTCCCTGTGTAATCTGGACACCCTTTGTCCTTTGAATCCCAACATAGAACTCTTATCCTGATTCGGAGGACCACCAAACAGTGAAACAGGGGCTTGAGGCCGCTTTCAAACCCTGTCATGTCCTCTGTATGAGCATGAAGGGTACCTTCTTGGGGACTCCGAAAATAATGATTATAGTATTTGGGGGTCTATATTGGGGTCACCTTATTTTGGGAAACTCCCATACACCCTAGAAACTCTCTATGAAACAACTCAGACCTCTAAGTTATGCCTCACCCGCCGGTAAAGCGAAACGGGGCAGCAGCAGGCAGAATGAACCCCCAAATAACCCTAAACCTGAAACCACAAACCCGGCATCCCAAACCCGAAGCCCTCAACTCTGAATGTCATAGCATACTAGCTTTAATGTTTTTGTCACCCTAGACCCTAAACCCCAAAACCCTAAACGCCGTAAAGCCCTAAACCCTAAAACCCTAAAACCCTAACCCTAAACCCTAAAACCCGAGAACCCCAAACGCAGACACCCTAAAACCCTCAAACCCTAAACCCTTACACCAGGCTCCGGGCCCGAACATGTAGCTGGCGAAGTCGGTCCGCAATCCGGGCAACATTATCGTCGGAGAGACCGTTCCTGGGCAGGGCAGTGCTTTGGGGGGGCTTTGGGGGGGCGTTGGGGGGTAGGGATTGATGGGTTCAGGGCTTACATAGGGGTTGAGGGTTTAGGGGTTTGCGGTTTGGGGGTTTGGGGGTTTCGGGTTCAGAAGTTGGTCCTTTTTTGGTGGGGTTCTGCTCTTCACCTGGTGGAGAAGCAAATGAAAACTGAGACGGAACATTAAATGGAAAGTGGAACTTGGAGCTTGTGGCCCTAAACCCTAAGCCC